CTTGGGCGCTGAGACATCAATGTCGGCCTTGGGCAGGTTCACATCCACCTCAGGACCTTCTGCTTTGAAGCCAGGCATGCTGAACTTGGGCATTTTCATCTTGGGCATCTTCAGGTGCCAGTCTGGGCCTTTCACATCCACATCCGGAACATCGATGTCCACTTTAGGCCCTTTGATGTCCACATCTGGAATTTTTATCTCACCCTCTGTTTTTGGTGGGGAGATATCTAGATCTCCTTTCACTTTCGGTCCTTTAAGATCCATGTCAACATCTGGTAGAGTCATCTTTGGAGCCTTGAAGTGCATCTCTGGCATCTTAAACTTTGGGCCTTTCAACTTCCCTTCTCCTCCTTCAAAGCTCAGATCTGGGGCACTGAGATCAACCTTTGGTGCAGAAATGTCCAAGTCAGCTTTGGGCAGGTTTACATCCACTTCTGAGCCCTCTCCTCTGAGACTGGGCATGCTGAACTTAGGCATTTTAATCTTCGGCATTTTCAAACTCCAATCAGAACCATGAACATCCACATCTGGAGCACTGACATCTATTTTGGGGCTTTGCAGGTCCCCTTCCACCTCTGACACTGTAATGCTGTATTCCCCCTTTGCCTTTGGACCTTTCATATGCAGATCCACATCAGGCATGGAGATCTTCGGGGCCTTGATGTTCACCTCTGGCATCTTAATCTTAGGTCCCTTCAGCTTCCCTTCAGGGACTTCAACATTCACATCCGGAGCTCCCACCTGCACTTTGGGGCCTGAGACATCTATGCTGGCCTTAGGCAGGCTCACATCCACTTCTGGACTCTCTGCTTTGACTTTGGGCATGCCAAACTTAGGCATTTTCATCGTGGGCATCTTTAGGTGCCAGTCTGGGCCCTGAGCTTCCACATCTGGGACATCAATGTCCACTTTGGCCATTTTAAGTTCAACATCAGGTACTTTAATATCACCTTCAACTCTTGGCACTGTGACATCATATTCTCCCCTTGCATGAGGACCTTTCAGATGTAAGTCCACATCCGGCATGGAGATCTTGGGAGCCTTGATGTTCATTTCCGGCATCTTAAACTTGGGTCCTTTCAACTTCCCATCTGGTCCCTCAAGGCTCACATCTGGAGCACCAGCCTCCACCTTGAGCCCAGTAATGTCCACATCGGCCTTGGGCAGGTTCACACCCACCTCAGGGCCCTCTGCTTTGAAGCCAGGCATGCTGAACTTGGGCATTTTCATCTTGGGCATCTTCAGCTGCCAGTCTGGGCCATGAACATCCACATCTGGGGCACTGATATCCACTTTGGGGCCTTGCACCTCTGCTTCAAGCTTTGGTACTGTTGGATCACACTCCCCTTTGACCATCATCCCTTCAGCATGCAGATCTGCACCAGGCAGGTTCACAGCCACTTCCGGCAGCTTGCCATCAGGCCCTCTAAGTTTGCCTCCGATTCCCTCCATATGGAACCCTGGCACTTCCACACTGACCTTCGGCCCTGAAACACTGACATCCCCTTTGGGGATAGCCAGGTCCACACACGGGGATTCCCCCTTGATTTCTGGAGTGCTGACTGCAGGCATCTTCACTTGGGGCATTTTTAGGTTCCACTCTGGGCCACTGACACCTACTCCGAGACCTCTGATATCAGCTTCAGGCACCTTGACCTTCTGTTCTACTTTCGGGAGTGTGACGTCCACACCCCCTTTCGCTCTAGGCACAGCAACGTTCAAGTCCACCTCCGCCATGGAGATCCTACACGTGCCTGTCTTCCCTGAAGGACCGCCAAGCTTGGGGCCGGACAAGGTTCCTGCCATGTCTGGTGTCTCTATGTCCATCCTGGAGCCTTTCAGTGCCACTTGGGGGCCGGTCCCTTCACCCTTTACCTCGGGAGCAGAAACTCTAATGTCTCCTTTTAGCTTGGGGGACCTGAGGCTCAGATCCACATCCTGCATGGAGATTTTGGGTTTCTGAACAATCGTTTCAGGAGTCTTCACCTTGGCACCCTTCACCTTTACTTCCAGCCCACCAGCGGCATCCTCGGGCAGGCTGACACCCCCAGAGACCCCTGGAAGAGTCACTTCCCCCGTGGGCAGTGTCACATGGTCAGCTCCCTCTGCCTTCGATGTGGGCACAGAGAACTGAGAGCCCTTCACCTTGGGCACGTTCACACCAACACCAGGGGCTCGCACCTCCACGTGGGGGCCTGTGACACCACCCTCGATTTGGGGGGCAGAGACATCCACTCCGATGTTCCCCAGTGGCTTGGCCCCCTTCAGGCCTAATTCGCCCTCCAGGGACGGCCCAGTGACCTGTGGGCCCCATGGCTCCCCTTCTGTCCCTGCGATGCTGACACCCACGTGAGGACCCTGGATGCTCCTGCTGCCCCCGGGTGCCCGGCCCTCAGGCGAAACCCCAAACTTTGGCATCTTCAGGGTAGGAATTTTAACTTTCCCACTGTTCTCCTCCGCTGCCCCAGCCCCAAGAGAGGACAGGACATCCCCTCCAGGCATGTGGACAGCTGCCCTGCCCCCTGAGTCCGCACCCTTTGCACTAACACTGATACTCGGGCTCCCCACCTGGACACCAGGCACAGAAACCTGGACTTTTGAGGTGACGGCACCCTGGAGCTCTGGCCCTGGGGGCAGCTTGATCACCGTTTTCCCAGGCCGTGTCTCCACATCCACAGTTGAGATTTCGGTCACTTCATGCCTTGGAATCTTCACCATAAACTCAGGGCTGCTGATGTCAATGTCCTTGGCTCCTTCTGGAGCAGTGACATCCACAGTGTAGGCTGTGACCCTCCTAGTCACAGTGATAGTGCGGCTCTGGGTCTCCCCAGGATCCCCTGCCACCCCGTCCTCCGAGCGCAGCCGTGGCTTGATCTTGGTGGCGTAGATGCGCTGGTACTCCTCGTCGGCCCCACTCTGCAGAAAGACACGCCAGGCACAGGTCGTGGGGAGCCTCCTCGGTGCTGTGGATGCAGCGCTGCTTCCCAGGGAACCAGCGACCCCAAAAGGCAGGGTCCCCAGGGGCAGAGCGCCAAGGCAACAACCACACCATAGGGGAAGCAAAGTCATCTGGGGACCACGGAGAACAACGGCCACCCACGCTCGCCTGCTCGGGGAATCGAGCACAGCCAGGGCTGCAGCCTGTGCCTGCAGGCTCAGCAATCTGAGACAGGTAGCAGGGCTGCCTCAAGTTCAAGGACAGCTGGAACTACATAGCAAGACCCATCTCCACACACACACACACACACACACACACACACACACACACACACAACCAGCGAAGAGCCCCCAGGCCCCTCACACTGAAACATCTCTGCAGAGCTGAAGAGCCAGGAGCTGGGGTTGGCACCGTCAGCACAGTCCACCTGTCCCATAACAGTCCACGGAAGGGCCACAAGTATCCCCACAGACCCGGGGGTTCCGGCTTGGGACTAACAGAACAACAGTGTCGAGGGCCACAGGTGGGCACCATCTGCAAAGCCACCCCTTCCCCCAGCATCAGACCCAGGCTGTGTGGCTGCTCTCCCTGCGGGGTGCTCTAAAGGGACACAGAAAAGACTGGGGCAGCACCTGCCCCGTGCTGTAGCAAACAGAAAAAACTTGCAGGCAGGGGCTCGTGCAGCACAGGGTCACTGAGGGATGGAACCCGGCAAGCTCCCGGCAGGCACAACCACCGTACTCACCAGAACCACCTCGGGGCCGTGGGAGCCCAGGGCCTCATGCACCCAGGCCTGGCCGGGCTCAGGGGAGCGGTCACCCGGACGGTGCAGCTTCAGGCCGACGGTGTGGCGGCCCACGGTGCTCAGCAGCTGCGCCACCTCCCCCGACTGCAGATTGTCGAAGTAGATGGTGGCGCCCACGATCTGGTCCCCTAAATGGAGAAAGATGACCAGGTCAGGCCCACGGGCCCAGGAGCCGCATCACAGCCCCAGCGGGAGGGCACAGTCGCACAGGAACCCAAGCACGTGCACAAGGAGCCTGAGGTCTGGACACTCCGCTCACCGCACCCGTCACGGCAGCGCTCGGGCAGACCCTATCCACAGTGGGGAGCACAGGGGCAGCAGGGCGGGGCCGCAGCCACCCCTCCCCCGGCCGTGTCCCTGGCGCCTGTGCCCACATACTCACCCTCCTGGACCACACCGGCACGGGCGGCGGGCGAGTCCTGCCGCACCTCCTGTACAAACACACCGTCGTCCCTCTGCGCGATGGTCAGCCCGTGTGAGCCGCTGCCCTGCCAGTTGGGCAGCAGCAGCTCCCGCGTTGTCTCCTCCTCCTTCTCCATCTGGGAAGCAGGGTGGAGACGCACGTCAGGTCCCCCAGGCTCTGTCCAGGCTCCCGCACCCTGGCTCTCCCGCCATAAGCCCTGTGCCTTCCACCCAGGCCTGGCCTCCAGGTCTCCTGCTGACCTCTGCTGTCCGGATCCTGAGCAGACGCGTGGCCAGGAGCCTGCCCCTTGCCCTCTCTCCCCACGCGGCTTCGGTCCTCAGAATCTGTCACAGAACCTGGGGAGAGACAAGTTCACAGGGACAGCTGCACCAAAGGGCGGCAGAGGCGCTGGGCCTGGCCAGTCCAGCCCAGTGCGGCAGTTCAGAACGTTGCAGCCTGCTGCACAGGACGCCAGCGCAAGGCATGCCAGGCCCCCACTCTGTCCTGGCAGTGCATCCTCCAGGCCGTGGGGCCAGCCAAGGCAGCTAACCTGGAACCCCATTTCCACACCATGGAACTGGAGCCGATAAGGGGCTCCCCTGGGAACAGAGGAGCCCTGAGGGTAGGGTACATGGGCTGCTACCAGGGGTTAAGACTGCCCCCAGGCACTTGCTCAGGACCCAGAGGCCGCTCGAAACCGCTGCGAGCCCCCCATCCAGCATCTCTAGCCTGGGCTCGGTCCAATGGGGAAAGCTGCCCCCAGCCACAAGACATGCCCAGGGCTGGCGGCCATGGGTCACTGGGAGGACACTGGGAGAAGCCAGAACCTGCAGCCACCCACACAAAAGGGCAGCCAGGCTGTCACACTGTCACCAGGGAAGCTGTGTGGATGACGCTCAACATTGCCAGGACCCCCATCCAAGCACCCAGCACTGCACAGGACTCCAAAGAGGACGCTGGCTGGGGACAGACACGACTGCCCAGCACCAAACGTCACACTTGTGGCCTTCACATGTCACTGAAGGCAGCCTCAAGCAGGTGTGGAGGGGACAACCCTCAGACCCTGCCCCACACTTAAGTCCTGAGCAAGGTGCTCTGCATGTGACCGGCTCAGAATCTCCCAGGGGTGAGAGAACCATCCCAGGGAACAAACTCCAAATGAAATCTGATCCCAGCACTTTAGGAGGTTGAGGCAGGAGAAATGAGAAATTCAAGCACAGGCTAGGAAAACCTGCCTCAAACTCTAAAAATGTTTAGAAACAGTTGGGGAGGCGTGGTACAGCTGAGATAAGAGGACTGCCTCAAGTTCAAGGCCAGCCTGGGTTACAAAGTAAGGTCAAGGCCAGCCTGAACTGCAGAGCGAGACCCTGCCCCAAAAAGACAGAAACAAAAAAAAGGGCTGAGACACAGTTTAGGAGTACAGTGCCTGCCTGGCACGTAAGAGGTCCTGAGTTCAATTCCTACACCACCACCAACACCACCACCACCCCCCACCCCACCCCCCGCAAAAAAAAAATGGCTGGGGAGCTGGGTGTGGGGCAGCTGAGGCAGGAGATCGTGGCAAGTTCAACGCCAGCCTGGGCTACAAAGTGAGCTCAAGGCCAGCCTGAACTGCACAGAGAGACCCTGTTTCAAAAAGACAAA